TCTGGTTTGTGATCAGTTATAGTCATGACACATCTGGTCCTCATCCAGTTCCTTAAGGTTCGACTTATCTGAGTTTTGATTTCGCCTTCGTTGCAATCGACCTACCCGGTCCTCTTTCACTTCAGTTTGCGAGGACCATCTCCCTCTCTACCCACCCAGACATCGACGATCGAAGAGGTGTCTGTCTCTGGTTTACTCGATTTCAACTTCGACTTTGGATTCTGGTCCCGTCTCTCTCAAGTTCAGTCTCCTTCTGTCTGTGGTTCACGATTTGTTCGGTGGTTCGTAGTACTATTCTCAGACGTTGCTTAGGTATTACATTTAACATCCTATTCCTAGTTTATTGCACTAAAACCCCCCAAAGTTTTCTAGGTATTATCCTTTGCCCCATCAGTCCTCTTCTTTGTCTCTGGTTCATACCAATGTCAAATGCTAAGATTACTAGGCCTAAAACTAGGCCACTGGCATCAAATAAGTGTGCTTTCTGCCATCAGAAAAGCCATCAGAAGTATCATTGTCCCAAAAAGAGATGTCTGTCTGCTTCGTCTATGTCTGCCTCGTCTTTTCAGCCGTTTTCGATCCAGTTCAGCGCCCCTCCTCTAAGTACCATTTGGCCTCTCGCCGGTTCTACTACATCTTCTCCTGATCTTGACTTGGCTTCCTTGAGTGCTCAGATTAGTTAGTTTTAGCATATACTGTCTACCTCCCAGCTATTCTCATCTGCCTCTATTGTTTCCTCTCTTCATTCAAGTTTGCTTGGGTCTTCTTCAGGTATCTCTTCGTCTGTCTGGATTTTTTACTCTGGTGCCTCTCATCATATGACTCCCCATCTCTTCTTACTTCAAAATTGTACTCCCCCTCCCTTTCCTATTACTGTTAATGCTGCTAATGAGTCTAGTATGTCTGTTATATCTGTTAGGTCTGTCTTACCATCTACTATGTTTGCTTTCTCTATTCCATTTGTCCTTTATGTTCCTCAGTTATCTGTCAGTTTATTATCTATTAGTCAACTTGATACCTCCGGTTTTGATGTTATCTTTTCTTCTTCTATTTGTTTTGTGCAAGATCGAATCTTCAAGCAGTAGATTGGTACTGACTGTAGAGTTGGAAACCTCTATGTGGTGAAGAGCTTGCATATGCCTATGATAACCTCTCTGACTGCCTTTTTCTATTTTCAATTAGATTCTCTGTCTAATCCTTTCTACTTGTGGCATTCTAGATTACAGCATTTGTCTGTTAACTGCTTACGATCTTTAGCTCAATTAGGTATATTGGATAAAGTTTCTCCTAATGAACTTACTGAATGTCGGGATATAAACTTGTCAAAATGACAGCCTTACCTTTTCGTAAAAGTACTTTTATATCTAATACATCGTTTTCTTTAGTTCATACCGATGTTTGGGACCCTTCTCCTATTCTCACTAAAGGGGATTCTGCGTACTATGTATCATTTGTTGACGACTGCACCCATTATACTTGGATTTATATTATGGCTCATAAGTCTGATTTCTATTAGATATACCGTACATTTCAGTCTATGATTACTACTTAATTTGGGTCTACAATTAAAGTGTTACGATTTAACTTAGGTGGTGAATATTTAAAAAATGAGTTCTATGAATATTTGGCCAATTTGGATATCATTCACCATACTTCCTGTACAGATATACCTGTCCAAAATAGTCAAGCTGAGCATAAGCACCGCCATCTCCTTGAGACAACTAGGTCTCTTCTTCTTTCTGCCTTAGTTCCGGCTCCATTTTGGGAGGAAACAGTTCTTACTACTGTTTTTTTTCTCAACTGCATGCCTATTTTCCTTCTTTCTGGTCTGCCTGCTTATAAGGCTTTGTTCTCCCAAATTCCTAATTACTCACTCCTTCGTGAGTTTGGGTCTGCCTATTTTTTCCTTCTTTTCTGCAAAGATCGGACCAAACTTAGTGCCCGGTCAATCCTCTGTATCTTTTTGGATTATAATCCTACTCAGAAAAGCTATCGGTATTACGACCCCGTTTCCCATCGTTTTTATGTCTCCCGTCATGTTTCTTTTCTCGAACGTCTACCTTACTTTTAGCTTCCTCCTATCATTGCTTCGGTTTCCAAAGAGGATTTGTTTCATATTGATCCATTTCCTTCTGAAGTCCCTCCTAATGAGTACATCTCTACTATTCCCCTTGAACTTGTTCCCTCTTCTCCTTTTATCACCCCTCCTGCTGAGTCTTTCTCTATTGAACCCCATGAACTTGCTCCATTTTTCTCCTCTTTTTTCCCAGCCTGCTCTTCTCCTCCTCCGTTGTTAGTTTATTCTCATCGCTAGGCTTTCCCTCCACCAGTTGTCTCTGCCCCTACTGTTGATCCTCCTGCTTCTGACGGCTCTGATTCTACTACACACTGATATCCTACTCGAGAGCGTCATCCTCCAAATAGGTTGGGTTGGTTTAATACAAGTTTTTCTGCTTCCTATCGTACTTTTTTGTCTGCTATTCATTCTTTTTCAAAACCTCAGGAGGCCTGTCAGGATCCCAATTAGGTTCAAGCTATGGAGGATGAAATATTTGCCTTGCAGAAGACTAATACTTGGGCGTTGGTCCCGTTGCCTACTGGCAAGAATCTAGTTGGTTGCAAATGGGTCTATAAAGTCAAAACTCATTTTGATAGTTCTCTCAAGTGATACAAAGCTCATCTGGTTGCCAAGGGTTTCTCGCAGGAGTATGGTATTGATTATGAGGAGACCTTTGCCCCTGTTGCCAAGATGAATATTGTATGTACCTTGATTTCTGTTGCTGCTAATCAACATTGGCCTCCTTATCAGATAGACGTTTAGAATGTTTTTTTTAATGGTCATCTCACTGAAGAAGTCTACATGCGTCCACCTCCTGGCTTTCCCCACTCCTCTGGGCAGGTTTGTCGTCTTTGGTGTGCTCTATATGGTTTGAAGCATTCTCTTTGTGTTTCGTATGATTCCTTTCAAATTGCTGTTGTTGAGCTTAGGTTTCATCATTTTGCTTACGACTCTGTTTTGTTTCTGAGACATACCTTGGCTGACTTTCTTGCTCTCTTACTATATGTGGATGATATGATCATCACTGGCTCTGACTCTTTTGCTATCTCTGAGGTCAAGCAGTATCTTTTCCGCACTTTCAAAATGAAAAATCTGGGTCCATTACGGTATTTTCTTGGTATTGATGTTGCTTCTTCTCCAAAGGGCTATTTTCCGTCTCAAGCTAAGTATGCTAATGAGGTTATTCACCGTGCTAGTCTTACTGATATTCAAGTTTCTGATACACCTACTGAGCTTAATGTGAAGCTCAACTCTACTGATGGTGTCCCTCTAGATGATCCCACCTTATATCGCGAGCTTGTGGGTTGCTTAGTCTATCTGACGATTACTCGTCCTGATCTTACCTATATTGTTCATGTGGTTAGCCAATTTGTTTCTGCTGCTTGCTCCACACATTGGGCTGCATTAGTTCAAATTCTTCGTTATCTCTAAGGTACTATATTTCAGGGATTACTATTATCCTCTACTTCCTCTCTGGATTTAATTGCCTATGCTGATTCTGATTGAGCTAGTGATATTACTGATCGCAAATCCACGTCTGGTTTCTGTATGTTTCTTGGTAATTCCTTGCTCTCTTGAAAAAGCAAGAAATAAATTGTTGTTGCTCGCTCTACTGTCAAAACTGAGTATCGTGCTATGGCTCATGCAACTGCTGAGATTGTTTGGCTTCGTTGTCTCTTATCTGATTTGGGTGTCCCTCAGTCTTCTCCGACCTCCCTCTACTGTGACAACCATAATGTTATTCAAATTGTCCATAACACTGTCTTCCATGAGTGGACAAAGCACATTGAGATTGATTGTCACTTTGCAGTCTGGCTCTATTTTGCTTCGTTTCGTCTCTTCGACTTTGCAATTTTCTAACTTCTTTACCAATACTCACACCACTGCTCGGTTTCAGTTTCTTCTTAACAAACTCTTAGGTTGCGTTTGGTAGAGCTTTTTAAATATGATTTGAGAATAAGAGTTGTATTTTGAGTTTTTGAGTTTTGGAATTATGATTTGAGTGTGAAAAACGTGTTTGGTAAATGAGTTTTGGAAAGAGTTTTGAATTGAGTGGGAAATTTTTGATGTGATATATGATGTTTGATGCAAAAACTTACCACTCAAAACCAAACACATAACTCAAAATTCAATTAAAGCTCGTAATTTTTTTTAAAAAAATTGGAAAATATTTTTTTTGAATATATAAAAATTAACAAGTGTCAATTGCACAAAAAAAAAAAAAAAAAAATATTTGCACTGTTTTGATCAACCGGCCGAACGATCGGTTAGGCCAAATTTAAAAAAAAAAAATTCGACAATCGCGCGTGACACAGAGTTTTTTGTTTGTTATGGAATTATAGTTTGAAACTTCTATCCAAACATGATATTAGAATGTGTAGGTAAAATTATGATTTGAAAATCCTTCCAAACACAGCCTTAGTGTTTTCTGCTAAAACCCCTTGAATTTGAGTGGGGATGCGAGAATATTACGTTTCATGTATATATGGTAGTTTATATATTCTGTATATATTAGGGATTTTGTTTTCTTTTTCAGTTCTAGGGTTAGATTGATATATAAACAAATGTATTCTTATATTTTAAATAGCATTGAATATACAAGTTTATTCAGAAACTTACACATAGATTCTACTTGCTACCATGATAATGCTATAGAAACTGATAAATTTTACTCACATAAGTTGTCTTTATCATATTATTTTAGTGAGTCCTGTTTCATAAACAAGAGCCATGACACATCTGTAAGAAAAAATTTGTATATTTAGCGTTCTCCTAGTACAAGTAAGCAATTGTCCTCACCATCCTCCCAGAAGCATCCCCACTATCATCAATACTCTTTCTTATGCCTCTAACTTCAACTACTGTCCATATGTATGTTTTATGTAGTGTATTAAAACCCTAATAAACTAACAACGGCTACCTGTATAGCTATGTTCATTATTGTATTCAATTCTATCTAGAACAACCCTTTACCACCACCAACAACAACAACAAAAAAAAAAGAAAGAAAGTCAAGGAGCCTTACAGTTGGAGAGTGGTTTTGATGGTGATGGTGATGATCACTGTGGCTGTTGTCTGTAGTAGTGGTGGTGGCTGAGGAGATAAGCTCTTCTTCATTTCCAAGACTGGCCCTTGACACATCCCGCTTGTTTTGTTTCCTCATTTCTCTGATTTTTGAGAAATCCAGAGAGTAGTCTGGCAATACACCCTTTTGATCCCAGTCACCAAACTGGGGAACTGATAGCCATGGCGTGTTGTTCTATACAGAATCCAATAAAATAAAATCACTTTTTTAGAACACCAAAAGGATGAAGGATTCTTCCAATGCCCAATATACAATTTCCATTAAGGGACACCATTGTTTCCAAGAACCATTTCAACAAGATAAAATTGACAAATAATGATGCATCCTCCTCAGTAAAAGGACACTTGATGTATACCTAAAATTCAATTTTTCTATGCATCCAAAATGTATCCAATGCACTCTCAATCACATAGATAATCATGTCTCAAAATTCCTGTGTTTTTGGACAACAGAATTTGCCCCTTTTTTTTTGTTTTGTTTTGTTTTTTTTTTTTTTTTTTTTTTGTTGGGGGGGGGGGGGGGGGGGGGCAATATAGAGCATGAAAAATGTCATATATGGGGAATAATTGGATCAAAATTATCTCACTTCCAGCTATCTCTTTTTCTTGTTTGAATTTTCAAATCATGTTAGTAGCAATGTCAAGCTCCAACATTTATCTTTTTTTCATGTGTAGACTTTAAAAAGAAAGAGAAATGATAAGGTAAAAAGAAGCTGATCATGACATTCACTTATAATTTCAAACACCCCACTCCACCAACAAAATTAAAATATATAACTAAAACAAAGAAATAAGGTCACAACTTTGACATATTCACTATTTAAGAGAAAAGGTAGAAGGAGTTTTTTTTATATTATATTTACGCTGCGTTTGGTTAGGAGATTTGAGGAGAGATTTGGAAAGAGAAAGGAAAAAGTTAGATGAAATGTGAATAAAATATACTTATATTTCACTTAGTTTCACACACCTTTTCCCTTCCTCTTTCCAGATTCCTCCTCAAATCACTCGACCAAACACAGTATTAGGGTTTTTTTTTATTTTATATACTAGGTATCTTGTTCAATTTACGTATACCAGATTAAGAGAGACTTTTAAAACGTGCCTAATAGTTTTTGATAGCGTAAAGTGTTCAACCTGACAACTCAAGAGCAAGCAAACCACAAGTCGCATGCCTCATCCACCAGGCTAAATTCTTGGGTCGTCCAAGGAGTGTGTTATTCACCAAATCAACATTAATTTCTCAAAATAGAAAAATAAAAATTTCCCAACAGCATTGTAGACCCATTTTAAATTTTTTTTTGAAGGAAATCAAAAACAGTAATAAATAAATCTATACTTACTATATATTAAGTAAAAGGGGATTTTTAACCCCAAGCCTTGTGGGAGTTTCAATCTCTCAATCTAAATTTCTTGATTTTTTTATTTAAAAAAAATAATCTTAGCATTTATTAACTTCTCCCAACTCCCAAGTCTTACCCTCATAATAACACTTTCATGCATTAAGAACAAGCATAAAAAAATATTCTTTAAAATCTAACATATATGAATTCCTTGAAAAGTTTCAACACATATGATTGTTATCTCTCATAATAACACTTTAATGCATTAAGAACAAGTATAAAAAAAATTTCTTAAAAAGTCCAATACATATGATTATTATCAAAATATTAAACTTTAATATAATATAATAAAAAAAAGACATTTAATTATTATTATCAAAATATTAAACTTTAATATAATGTAAAAAATGAAAAAAAAAGAAGATATTTAAAAAAAAAATTAAAAATCACAATTCACATATATAGATAATTGTAAACACAATCCGTGCATAGCACGGGTGATATGCTAGTACTATATATTAAGCAAAAGAGGGTTTTCAACCCCAAGCCTTGTGTGAGTTTCAATCTCCCAATCTAAATTTCTTGATTGATTTAACAAAAAAAAAAACCATAGCATTTATTAACTTCTCTCACCCCCAAGTCTTACCCTCGTAATAACACTTTAATGCATTAAGAACAAGCATAAAAAAATTCTTTGAAATCCAACACATGAATTCTTTGAAAAGTCCCAACAAATATGATTAGTATCTCTCATAATAACACTTTAATGCATTAAGAACAAGCATAAAAAAAAAATTCTTGAAAAGTCCAACACATGATTATTATCAAAATATTAAATTTTAATATAATATAATAATAAAAAAAGACATTTAGATTGGGAGATTAGAGCTCCCATAAAGCTTGGGGTTAAAAACCCTTTTTTTCTTAATATATAACTAGCATATCACCCGTGCTATGCACATATTGTATTTACAATTATCTATATATGTGAATTGTGATTTTTAAATGTTTTTTTATTTATTCTAAATGTCTTCTTTCTTTCCTTTTTTATATTATATTAAAGTTTAATATTTTGATAATAATCATATGTGTTGGACTTTTCAAGGAATTAAATGTCTTTTCTTTTTTATTATATTATATTAAAGTTTAATATTTTGATAATAATCATATGCGTTGGACTTTTCAAGAAATTTTTTTATACTTGTTTTTAATGCATTAAAGTGTTATTATGAGCAATAATAATCATATGTGTTGGGACTTTTCAAGAAATTCATATGTGTTGGATTTTAAAAAAAAAAAAATTTATGCTTGAAAGTTGTTATTAAAGTGTTAAAAAAAAATTAATGCATTAAAGTGTTATTATGAGGGTAAGACTTGAAAGTTGGGAGAAGTTAATAAATGTAAACACAATTCACATATATAGATAATTGTAAACACAATACGTGCATAGCACGGGTGATATGCTAGTAAAAAAGTATACAAATTGGGGGATTAAAAGCACAGAACTAACAGACTAGCAAAAAATAGCAGGAAACTCTAAAACTGGAAATTGAAAGTTCAAAAATTCGATTACAGAGTCAAATTAGAGGAAGAACATAAAACAAAAACATGCAGATGTATATATATATATATATATATATGTGTGTGTGTGTGAACTGAAACTATAAATAAATTATTTACAAGGGGGAGATCAGCAGAGAGAGAGAGAGAGAGAGAGAGAGAAAGGATTTATTACCTCCTTGCGGTCTCCCATGCGATGAGATCTTCGACTTCCACTACAATTAATTTTTAACAATTTTGGCGGTGATAAATGCTATAGGAGAGTTTTTAGATTTTTTAGACAACATAGGGTTGTTTTGGAAAATGGGTTCGTTTTTTGATTTGTTTTTGGGTATTTTAGTTTGAAGTTAAACATTCTTATTTGATTTTTTTTTTACTTTTAGTAGAGGAATAATGTCATGATTATGTATTGGATGTGATGTTTTATTTTATTAAACTAGAAAACCTATTTCATTTTTTTGTGAATAAAATAGCTCCAAACCCAACCTAACTCTTCTTCCCAAACAAAGCCATAGGTATATTAACAGTTTGCACACGACATGTGCAATTTAAATAAATATAAATAAAATAAAATATTAATTATATATTGTGAATTATTTTAGTAAGTTATTTTAATTTTTGACTATTTTAATATATTAAAATATTTATATTTACAAAGATAGTTTAATTTTTTTTATAGTTGAATGTTGTGTTTGTGAGAAAAAATTAAAATGATCATGTGTTTGATACAAGGGTGTTCGTAGTTCAGTTGCGCCCAAAGAACCTTTAATCCGCCATCCATTTGCCAGATGGGCGGATTAAAAAAATCAGTTCACATCTGTCCATCGAATTGACGGATGCGGATTGGCGGATGGATGTAAATCGATTTGGCAGTTTAAATTTTTACAAATTTTGAACATAATACAATAATTTGTCAACAATTTTTTAAAAATAATAATCCAACCTAACATAACCAAAAGATTATCAAGTAAATTGTCAAAACACCAATAATAAATATATATAAGAAAATCATACATTATCAAAACTATTTCATTACTTTTTTATATTCAAAAACTATTTAATTTGGTTTTTTTAAAAAATAATAAAATTAAGCCCTATATTTTTCATACAAAAAATATCAAATATCAACATTTGCCATTTGATAAAAGAATTTCCAAATTGAAAAAATAATAGAATATCAAACTCTTTTTTAATTAAAAATACAAACAAAATATCTAAACAAATTGAAAATACAAAGTTTTACAAATTACTAGGGTGCTCGTCGTTTGGCGGTTCGATTACGGCTTAATGAACCTTAAATCCGCTATTCGTCCAAAATTAGGTGGATTAGAAAAAATCAATCCGCAACCGTTCGTTCATCATCACGCATTACTACTCACCCCTAGTTTGATATGATATTTAGGCCTAGTTTGGGAAGACTAAATAAGTACACTTTTTGACTTTTTATGAAATATGGGTTGGGTTTGGGTCGGGTTTGAAGTGATGTGTTAGAGAGGTGATGTGACTTAAATAAGATGATGTGACTTAAATAGGATAGTGACTTTTTGACTTTTTGTCTTTTTTCAATCATGCCAAACTTGGCCTAATTCTTACAAACTCACTTACAAACTTTTCTTACCTAACCGATGTCTGACGGAATGTTACAGGTAATCCCGGGACCTTATGCCACACACGTTGCACCGGCCATAATCAACATCCAGAATGCTCTCAGATCGATCGGCCTAACTGGGATAAAGGTGACCACAGTGTTTGGGTTCTCTCCCACGATCTTACTAGCATTAACTTAAATAACTCGTCTTCAGGAGTGGTTATCAAGGGCTAGCACTCTTGAGAGGAAGCTTTCATCAGGCTCGCATGCTAATTTCTATTTCTTTGCTAGCATGACTAGCCCGTCCAACTTGCCTAACCGAACCCTAATTTTTTAGGATGTGAAAAGGGTTGTTTAGCTCATAAGGTAGGATTACACTAACATTTTCATCCCGATATATTAATTGGTTAGATTTGATATTTATACTTTCAACTTAACTTGACCCGGCCCATTATTAAATTAATTAATTAATTATAATGTATTAAAAAATATATATTTTTTGGGATATATACTTTGTCTTTGTTGATTTTAATGAAACTTGCATTGTGGCAATGTGTGCTTGAATTTATTTTTAAAAATCCTTCAATTTATAATGATGTCAGTATATTTATTTAAGAAATTTAGTTTATGACTGAATTTAATTCCGAAATATTTTAATTTTTTTTTAAACATATAGTCTAATAAGTGAGCTTGAGATTTATAATTTTTTTTTTTACCAGACTTGGGTAGGCCCGATGTTAGGGTGATGCCATATTTAGGTAGATATAAAATCCCTTATTATGTAGTGTCTACTAGCCCAAATTCGGCTCGACCCGACAAATGCCCCCCCTAATTGTCACTAAAATTATTTGTCTACTATCTAAATTCAATATATCTTTTGTTTTTTTTTTTTGGTTCTTTTGGTTTACCTTGATAATCATTTATAATATCAGTAATTTATTTTCAGATTATCAATATGGGATTCATAAAGAATCCACAAGCCCAAACAACATGATTTGAGAATTTAACTATTTTAGTTTATTTTTTTAGCTATTTTAGTCTGACTAAAAAAGTTATATTTAGGATGATAATTGTGTGTGTGTGTGTGTTTTTTTTTTAGTTGATTTTAATGATTGTGAGAGAAAAAAAATAAAATGATTATAATTTGAATATAACTTTTTTTCAAAGTTGGGGTGGCTGATTTGCGTGGGTGCACAACAGCCACTGTTGTGCAGCCAAATTGGCCTATTTCGATAATCCGAACGGTTTACATTTTAGAATACATCAAATAGAACATACCTGTAAAAAATCAAGTTAATCGGATATCGTTTACATTTTCATCCACTAGCATTTGTATTCAATTTAATACTTTAAATTATAATTGTTATTTATTTTTGTTGATACAAATGTGAGTGGATGAATGGATAAACAATATCCAATTAACTTGATTTTTTACACTTATGTTCTACTTAATGTATTTTAAAATGTGAACGGTTCGAAATATTGAAATAAGTCCTGAAATGAGTCTATTTAACTGCACAACTGTTGCTGTTGTACACCCCCATATAGCAGTCACCCCAAGTCCCTTTTTATCTTATTAATTATTTTAACCTATTTTAAATTTTATTGCTATGTTAACCCATGTTGCCCCACGTATCTCACTTTTGATTTTGAATTTATATTTTTATTTTGGATAAATTTTAAATACAACACTTGAGTTTTATTTTTAATATATATTGTTCTTTGTGGGTTTAAAAATTAAAAATGCCTTATTATCAAAAAAAAATTATTCAACAGAATTGATTGAAAAAATAAAATTTATAGTTACTTTTCTATACAGTGATAAAATTATTTAAATCATTAATTATTAATTGACTTGTTAATTTATTGATAAAATAGACTATTTGTTATGAAATTAAAATTTTCGAGAGGCAAGATATAATTTTCAAAACTAAAGGGAAAAAATTATATTTTAAACAAATCTTAGTCAGGGATGTATCTGTAATTTGCCCTTTTATTTTTAGTGAATTTTTTTAATATTTTAATTTTTAAATATATTTAATCTAAATATATTTAAAAAAACATAAAATTTGTGAAAAATATATTTAAAAAATCCACTAAATACTAATGCGTATATAAAATTTCAGTATATTTACATATTTTTTTTGGTATTTATTGATTTTTTAAAATATTTTATTTTCAATCTAATAGTGGCGCATCGAGTATTTCGTCTGGTGTTAGGTTAGAGAATGTGAGTAAGAGCTACAAGGGCGTGACTGTATTGAAAGATGTGAGTTGGGAAGTGAAGAAAGGCGAGAAAGTGGGTTTGGTGGGTGTTAATGGTGCCGGGAAGACCACCCAGTTTATTTGTCATTTATGCGATAATACCACCCATATAATTGCCATTATTTTATTTTTGTTTCGTTTTCACCATTCGTATGGTTGTGGAGAAGTTTGTGTACGTTTCAACAATACCATGGTGATGACACATTGTCTTCTTTCAATCTTTGAAAGCGTGGATAGTGCAACCATCTTGCAATTATATCACACGTGGCACCAAATGAGAGGATGGAATCATTTACTAAGCAGACTAGCCACCACAAATCCACTCCACCTCTATTTTGCTAGCCACAAAATATGAGGTTGTAAAAATAGGAGAACATAAAATCACAAAATCCCATTTTACTTGCAAAAATAACATTTTTTTTATTATTATTATTCAGGCTCATTGTATCGATTAATTCGGAACAGTAATGTTACATCCCACTAAAAGTGATGTTCTAAAGCACCACTAATGAGTTGACACACACTTTTTTTTTTTTTTAAAAAAAACAAGGCGCAAAAACATTGTGGTAGCACTAATTAACATTACTACTGCCTTCAATATTTCTTATTCGATAAAATCCAAAAAAAAAAAAGAAAAAAAATTGTAAAATTTGTTTCCAATTTAAGGAAACACCTAATTAATAATTTTATATAAAAAAAATTATAACAAAACAGTACTTAACATATAATTGAAGAGTTCTGAAATTATAACAAAAATAATGTAATAAGACCATCTCCAATGGTTATTCAAAACTATAATAAAATATAGCTTCAAAATATTTCTAACGGTTTCATCAAATACGTATCACATCTAGGATTTCATTTTTCTTTTATCAAATTGAGGATCAATGTGCCTTTCATTAAATCATTGTTCATTGTTGTTAGATTTTTACCACTAGATGTCCTCCTGGATGTTCTCCCGATTGTCCCCTGAATGACCACCTCAAGATAAAAATTTGTGAAAAAATTACACTGACCAGTCATCCACCAGGTCGATTGGTCGTTTGATGAATCTACAAAATCCTCTGTTGGAACTCTTGATATCAAAAAAAAATTTTACTCAAATTTTGTGAAAAAATTGATACACTATTAAAGATACTCTGGGGCACTTCGGGAAGAAGCTAAAAAAACCAATTTTTAAATTTTTTTGCTTTTAAGCCAAAGAAACCAATTTTTTTTGTCAAAAAAGTCATCAAAAAAATTTAAAAAATCAAATTTTTACTAACTTTCCAAAAGACCACTCTAACTAACAGTTCAATAAATTATGATTAATCCTCCAATATCTCATAATCAATTATAACAAAAATTATAACCAAAAGTGCATATTATGGATTGATTTCAATTTATTTATTTTTTTTAAAAGTTTTGGAATTATGATTTGAGTGTGAAAAATTTGTTGGTGAAAGAATTTTGAAAAGAGTTTTGAATTGAGTGGGGAATTTTTGATGTAACATATGATATTTGATACAAAAACTTACAACTCATAACCAAACATACAACTCAAAATTATATTAAAACACATAAAAAAAATTTAAAAATTCAGAAAATATTTTTTTTGAATATATAAAAATTAACATATGTCAATTGCAAAAAAAAAAAAAAAATTGTATTGTTCCGGTCAACCAGCCGGACGACCGATGGGACATCCGGTTAGTCTAAATTTTCCCGCTTTCGACCGCGTTTTCAAAAGTGAGCATGGAATTAAGTTTTGAAATTCGTAAACAAACGTTGTGTTCAAATTAAGCGCTAGAATGCTAGTTTCAGAGCTGTACCAAACACAATTTAAATTTTTACCAACTTTTTAAAACACCGCTCTAACTAACAGTACAATAAATTATGATTAATCCTCCAATAACTCATAACCAATTATAACAAAAATTATAACCAAAAGTGCATATTACATGGATTGATTTCAATTTATTTATTTTTTTAAAAAAATTAATTTTTTTTTTTTTTTACGTAAATTACGATAATAATCAATGCCACAGGCGTCCAAAAGAACATAGTGATAGCCTTCTTCTTCTTCTTCCTCTTCTTCTTCCATGGACTGAGAGAGTGCCCAAGGCCGAGGTTGAGAGAGAGAGAGAGAGAGAGAGTTTCGCTTACACTCTCTTCTGAGATTACCTGTCTCTTTTTTTCCTTTTGCTTTTTTCACAAAACCCTAGAGTTTCGCTTACACTCTCTTCTGAGATTACCTGTCTCTTTTTTTCCTTTTGCTTTTTTCACAAAACCCTTAATTTTCATAGCTTTCTCTCCATATTTTCCATTACTTTCTTACCAGCCAAGCATGGACTTAGCAACAAAATTCCAATTCATGGACCTCCGCTCAACGTTCCTCACTGGTTCAGCGCCTTTTCTCCGACAACGCCTCCGCCCAATTTCATCCCCAATAGCCACTCACTCTTTCACAGGTTCCAATCATTCAATAAAAAACACTACTTTCTTTATCTCTAGAAAACCAATAAACCCTAGAATTTCAGCTAAATTGTCAGCGATCGCTGTTGAAACATCGGTCGCTGAGACCAGTGTTGAAGACGATATTGAATCTCTGTTTTCGAACAATTCTGTGGATGAAGTTGATCACAAACGTGTAAATAAGCAATCTAATAGTGGCGCATCGAGTATTTCGTCTGGTGTTAGGTTAGAGAATGTGAGTAAGAGCTACAAGGGCGTGACTGTATTGAAAGATGTGAGTTGGGAAGTGAAGAAAGGCGAGAAAGTGGGTTTGGTGGGTGTTAATGGTGCCGGGAAGACCACCCAGTTGAGAATTATTTCCGGGCTAGAGGAACCCGATTCAGGGAATGTAATCAAGGCCAAACACAATATGAAAATTGCTTTTTTGAGTCAAGAATTCGAGGTTTCATTGAGTAAAACTGTAAAGGAAGAGCTACTGAGTGCGTTTAAGGAGGAGATGGAGATTGTGGGGAGGTTGGAGAAGGTACAGAAGGCAATTGAAGGTTCAGTGGATGATTTGGAGTTGATGGGGAGGCTCTTGGACGAGTTTGATTTGCTTCAGAGGCGGGGACAGGCAGTGGATTTGGATCAGGTGGATATGAAGATTAGTAAGTTGATGCCGGAACTTGGGTTTGCTGTGGAGGATTCAGATAGGTTGGTGGCTTCATTTAGTGGTGGGTGGCAGATGAGGATGTCCCTTGGGAAGATTCTACTCCAGGTATCAGTGCATTTGGATTGATAAGTTTTTAATGTTAACTTCCTGGGATGCAAGTCCTTATTTGTGTTTGTTTTATGGGGTCGTACTTTACTGCCGATGATATGTTGTGATAATTAATTGTCTGATATTGCAAAAGCAAATTATGAGATGTGTGACATTTCTAGTATAGCATTATAGTGTTCTTAGGAAACATAATAAGAGTTTCTGAACTTTGATGACTTCTCAGTGAAGAAACATTAGGATAATGAGATTAAAACACATCTTTGGTCCCTAGATCATGTCCACAAAACATTACTCTCAATTTGCTTTTGTGAATTTTGTATTACAAGTTAGAAATTTTAGAATGTTTGAAAGATTCGTAAAGAAAGATTTTGTTGCATAAGTCTATAGTAGGTTATTCTTTAGTTATATACACACACATGCATATACTATATATATATGTCTCGCGGTATGTCCACAAAACATTACTCTCAATTTGCTTTTGTGAATTTTGTATTACAAGTTAGAAATTTTAGAATGTTTGAAAGATTCATAAAGAAAGATTTTGTTGCATAAGTCTATAGTAGGTTATTCTTTAGTTATATACACACACATGCATATACTATATATATGTCTCGCGGTGTTCTTGGCATATCTACATCCTAATGTTTTAGAAGTTCTTGTGTGGTATACATATCCTTGATCTGTATCTTTACTTCAAGGAACTGCTCCTTCCGCCATATCATACCCACCAAATTATACATGCTTGTTGTAAGTTAATGTACAAGGTTCGAAGTGATAAACTACTTTATGTGGCAGAGTTATTAGTAGCATTTAGAATTTGGATATGGCTGAATATTTAAACCCAAATTATCTGACTCTTTGAGGTGTATTATGAAAGGGTTTTATACTTATGTTCCTGTATACTTTCCTTGGCTACTTAAAAGGTTTTAGTGGTTGATTAAATTTACTGTTTGTTAGAACTCAAGGTGTTTGTGATTGATTGTTGACAGTTGTGATCATCTGCAGGACCCAGATTTGTTACTATTGGATGAGCCCACTAATCATCTTGATCTTGACACAATTGAGTGGCTGGAAGGATATCTTAATAAGCAAGATGTGCCCATGGTCATCATATCTCATGACAGGGCTTTCCTTGACCAGCTCTGTACAAAAATTGTGGAAACTGACATGGGTGTATCCAGGACATATGTGGGCAATTACTCCGAGTATGTTCTTGCAAAGGCAGCCTGGATTGAAGCTCAGTATGCAGCATGGGAAAAGCACCAAAAGGAAATTGAGCACACAAAGGACTTAATAAACAGATTAAGTGCAGGAGCAAATGCTGGCCGTGCATCTACTGCTGAAAAGGTGTACAGAAATCTACTAGTTTATTGAGTAATTCAATGCAGTGAATACACATTTCTTATTCATCTTAAGATAGCAGTAGGGCACTCTTTTGTCATAAAGCTTGAAGTTATAATGATACTTCATAATCCTAAGCTAATGTTTATTAAACAGTTAAAAGACACCTGCAAAATCCATCCTTTTACTTCATCTGGTAGAAACTTCCTATCAATGCCTAGAAATTACAGAAAGAAAGACCCAATGTGGTTTCCCAGGTCCTCCTGCCAAGTTTTATCTGCGGTGTTGCACGATTTTGACTATACAAACTAATTGATTCTTAAATCTCAATGTGTTTACTTTATTTATCAAAAAAAAAAAAATCTCAATGTGTTTACTGCTCAATTAGCATTATTTTTGTGGAGGTGCTGAATGATGTTTCCTGAAATGTGACTATTTTAAGAGCGTAGTGCGGAATACTCCTTCATGATGCTGAATTTGTGTTCTGTGAAAGTTTAAACATTGTTAGAAGTTTCACGAAAACCTGAGACATTTATGTGCACTTGGTTTGGAACTTGGATTCGTGTTCATAAGGGATCCAACAGGGTGTTTTATTTGGTAGTTATCAAACTACCTAACACTATGTCGGCTTTTTGGCAATTCGAAGGTTAAAAATATAAATTCGAGCGTGCCAATAAGGATTGAATAATCCTTACATATATTAGACAAGCCAAATTACTTACCAGGTGATTGTGAAAGGTTCTTTTTGCCTCAAAGAAGAGAACTTTAATGCCTGTGTTAAAGTGAGAACCAATTAATGATTGGGAGAACTGTATTAAGTATAGAATGGGAGGGAGAAATGTCAAAAGGAAAATACAAAGCTTCTAAGTTAGAACCACTCCTAAAGAAAGTAAAGAAAAGAGCAAAATAGAAAAACAAGAAATTGATAAGTGAACATAAGGAGTCCTTCTAATCCTCAGCAACTGTTGAAGCTTACACCCACGATCTCCCCTACTCTAGCTATATTCATGGGCTTTTCCCTCCTTAGTTTTTGAATTCAAATGCCAGAGCTAAGCCATCTGTTTCTGCCTTACACCTTTCGAAGGGCGGTTAATCCCTTTCATCTTCCTGCTACTTAGTCACAACATCAAGTCAATTGAAGATCACCACATGGCATTCACGTAATTCCGCCATTTGTTCAGTTCTAAGGCATGCCACGTGTTCTTTTCTTGATTGGCTTGATTTGAACCCATTACTGGCTGCCACACGTCATTCTGTGACTGGTTGGTGTGAATATGGCACCAACACATTATCAAAGCAAAAAGGGTATTAAAAAACCATGAAGTAGATTGTGGAATCTGAAAGGTGAGAAATTGAATTTTTTTAAAGATAAAAGTTTAAAGAAGCAACGTAGAATTTGGAAGATGATATTTATAATACGTGGAATATGAAGGCAAAATGTATTAAAAGAATATCAAAAGAAGTTCTTGGAAAATCAAAGAGAAAGTGTCATATATCTAAAGATACTTGATGGAGGAATGATGAGATACAAGTAACAACAACAAAAACCAAAGGAAATTAGATTAGACATTAATGATTGTAAAAAGGAATTTATGAAGTTGCTAAATTGAGAGAAAGAAAAATAACATAATTTAAACAAGTGAGGTGCATAAAGAGTGAGTATATGAGGGTGTTGGTTAATGATGATGAGATTAAAGAAAAGTGAACGAGTTATTTTTGAGAAATTGTTGAATGAGTAACATTTAGAATTCTTAGAAGCGGAATATGATAGCTTTGATGGAGTTAGAGAATACAAGTTTTATAGCCGAGTTTGAGTTTGAATTTGCATTGAAAAAGATGAAAGCAGGGAAGACATTAGAACAAGATTGTATCCTTACTGAGGGTTGGAAATGCTTAGGTAAGGAAGGGGTGCCTTGGTTAACAAAACTTTTTAATAAGATTCTAATGATTAAGAAATTGTCTGACAAGTAGAGAAAAAATATTATAGTATCTATAAATAAATTAGAGATATCTAAACTTGTAACAATTATCGAGGCAGTAAATTGATTCTTCATGCAATGAAGATGGAGCATTGCATAATAGTTGCAACAACAGTGTTAGAGAGAATTTGTTTGAATTTATGCCCGATAGATCAACTATGGAACCTATATATTTGCTATGAAGATTAATAGAAAATTACAAAGAGAATAGGAAAGATTTTCATGTGGTTTTTATATATAAAAAAGTTTATTATAGGGTGTCAAGTGATATAATATGGTGAGTGTTAGATAAAAAAGGCTTGACAAATGGGTATATTAATGTGATAATGGACATGTATGATAGGGCTGCGATTACAATTAGATCTTCCGCAGGAGAAACTAGTGATTTTTTTAATAACTGTTGGATTGCACTAAGGGCCAACTTTGAGTTCTTACTAAATTATAGATGAATTAAATAAACACATCAAGATAATGTCCCATGGTTTATGTTCTTCACAAATGATATTATTCTAATGGATGAAACTAAGGGAGAAATTAATGTAAAATTAGAAATCCGGATGGGGGGAAGCACTTATATCAAAAGGGTTTAAAAAACTAAAGATAGACCAAAATTGAATATATATAATGTAATTTTGGTACCAAGTCCTCACAGGAGGTGGTTTTTTTTTTTTTTTTGGCTTCATGTACGGCTCATGATAAAATTCTTACTATTGATAACTTGATTCAAAAGAAGAAGGTGCATGTCGATTAGTGTTGAATGTGCTAGCATGCAGAGTTGATTATTTGCTTCTTCATTGCAAGGTGGCTCACGAGTTGTTGACATTGGTCCTCCTTTGTTTGATGTCGTTTGGGTGTTTCCGATGGAGTTTCTTTTTTCTTGGTGTGGAGGTCAAGTGAGGAGGAGGAGGAGGAAGGCATGGATGTTGGTGTTATTGGTTAGCTAGTGGTTACTCTGGGTTGAGAGGAATAAAAGATCTTCTGATGGCGTAGACAGACCCGTTGTTAAGATCAAAAGTCTCATTTTCTCCTTCTTGTATAGTAGTTTAACTAATTTTTGAATGTTGTCGACTTTTGAATAGGTTTTTGATGTATTTGAGATAGATCTTTCTTTGTGTAAAGGTAGTGCACCCCCCTTGGTCCATTTTTTTGAATAAAAATTTACTATTTTAAGTAAAAATAGTGAAGTGAAGATTGAAAACCAAGAGAAAATAAAGAATGAACAATTTCATTACCTAGGTTTGATTATTATGTGAAAAATTTATAGAATAGCTGCGAGGCCAACGATGCTTTATGAGACAGAATGTTACGGAACTCAGAACAAACATGTTCATAAAATAAATGTAGTCGAGGTGAGGATACTTCAAATGGATGTGTGGTAAGACTAGAAATACAAAATTAGAATTTAATATATTCATGAAATGGTAGGAGTAGTACCAATTGAGGATAAATTGAGAGAGAATAGGCGAAGGTGGTTTGGTCATGTACATTGAAGACCTGTAGACACAACGATAACAAAAGTGAAATGATCATCATAAATGAAAATGTTATGGGAAGGATAAGACCTAACTAACATGCAATGTGATAGTAAGAATTATGTGATTTTATTTAATTTGACTGAGCATATTGCCTTTGACAAAGTGGAATAACGGAAAACATTCATGTAACTAACTCCATCTGATTGAGACACAAGGCTTAGTTTGGTTTGATTTTGTTTGGAGCTTAGAATTGGTGAGGAAAAGGAACATGAAAGGATGGTGAGAAGGAAAACCATTTTTTTGTGTTTTCCCTTCTACTTAAGAAAAATGTTGAGAGTAAAAAATATTTTTTTTGAAAATGGCAAGAAATCATGGATAAAAGAGAATGAGAAATGAAATTTTGAACTAAATATTTTTTTCTTTTTTCTCGTGTTTTACGTGGTAATCAAATAAAGAACAGTGGTTTTCTTTACGTTATATTTTCCTTTTTCTGCACAAGGTCCATTAATTGGTGATCTCCATAAAAAGAAAATAAGTTGGTGCTGATCTCCACAAAATCTTACTTGGTGAGAGAGTCATGCCTAATATGTGCTTTTGCTTTTATTTCTTGGAACCTTTCTGGTCATAAAAATGTTTGACTGTGATGCTCTTAAAACTAGTGGTCATGTATCATAGATTGAAATCATGGCCAAGTATGTTCCATTTTTCCTGAAATCAGTGTTCTAGCCGGTGGTCTTTACAGCACAGTGGCTTGCTACAGTGTCTTTGTACCTTATCCTGTTACAGGCTGCAATCATGGTGGGAAGATGCTTCACTTGTATAGTGGGGCCCCTATGACCCCTTATTGTTTTTTATTTTCATAATTTTTTTTTGTTGAACAAGGCTTTATGTACATGGTTTTACCTTTTAACAATTGCCAACTCAGATCTGATTCAAGGTCCTGCACCAAAATCCATTTTATACAGAACTTGATTATATGATTGTTTTTTGCATGCTCTGTACATTTCATTTCCTGGCTAGGCTGTTCTTTAACTCAACATCTGCATTATTACTGGAATCATTATTAACCCCCCCTTTTTTTTTGTTTAAATAGAAACTTGAAAAACTTCAGGAAGAGGAACAAATTGATAAGCCCTTTATACGGAAACAAATGAAAATCAGATTCCCTGAGCGTGGAAGAAGCGGAAGATCTGTTGTAACAATTAAGAATCTGGAATTTGGATATGGGGATAAGGTAATTGCCATCATGAACTAAATGTGGACAAAGGCTAACAATGTTGCTTTCTGTCTCTGATTATTTTGTATTCTTGTTACATTCTTTGTCAGGTGTTGTTTAAGAAGGCTAATATTACAATTGAAAAAGGTGAGAAAATTGCTATTATTGGCCCAAATGGTTGTGGAAAGAGTACTTTGCTTAAACTTATTATGGGTTTAGAGAAGCCAAGTCAAGGTGAAGTTCTGCTTGGGGAACATAATGTTCTGCCAAATTATTTTGAGCAGAATCAGGTATCTTCCTCTGATCACCACTGCTGTTATAATTTTGTTTTGTCTTACGATCACAGTGATATTAGTTTTCACTGCCAGTTCCAGTTCCATGTACATCCATTGGTATTTCTCACCGAGGGTATTTTATTCTATTTTCAGGCTGAAGCACTTGATTTGAATAAAACAGTGCTTGAGACTGTAGCGGAAGTTGCGGATGACTGGAGAATTGATGATATAAAGGGACTCCTTGGGCGTTGTAATTTCAAAGCTGATATGCTTGATAGGAAGGTCTCCCTCTTGAGTGGTGGTGAGAAGGCAAGTACACATGCACTTTTGTATGTCTTTGTTTCATTGAGCACTTTCTTCACCTTTCCGGTTTCATAAGCTGAATCTTTTGTTGGAAACAGCTATTGTGTTTTTCTCCATGTATTTCGGTGTGTTTCCCTTTTACTGAAGTCTCATTGTTATTTTTTGGTTACGTAATAACTATTTTTTTTTTTAATTATATTTTTTTCAGAATCATTTGTTGGCTTTAATTATAAAGCACTACTATAGTATTCTGCATCTGGTTGATGGTGAGCTTATTGGACTAGAATTGGTATTGACACTAGGAGGTCGTGGGCCCATGACTTAACTATTTGGAGCTGGCTACATGTCTAGACCAGTGTAAAATAAAAATACCTGGTGATCATTTGGGTGAAGATTTTGTGAACCTTATTTGCAGAAAATTTTTGGGGAGTTTGATTGAAGCATTTTTGCTGGTCTTTATTTGAGACATAGACACAAGTACTGCACTTAAACCAGGAAGGGTTTTTTTATTAAGTCTAAGGGCCTGCTCAAATGTCCGCTTGCATTTGAATAAGTCCATCTTCCTAGAGGGCACACTCTATTAACCCCTCATCCATTCACACAATGATGAGTTTGTACGTTGAAATACTATTAAAAATGTGGCACTGATATGGCTGTAGAACAATTAATGTGGGAGAGAGAACCAAGGACAGCCTGAGAGACAGAGAGAGACTTTGAAAGAGGTTCCTGTTACACACTCTTTGGTAGAACTCAACTCCAAAAGCTAGCTACAGAGGTGAGGGTGCTTTCGTGCTTTCATGCTTATATGCTTAACATTACTTTAGTAGTTGGGTAATGTGGGACTTCGCTTCACACCTTCCTTCACGCTCAGCGTTTTCACTCGGCAGCGCCTGAGAGACAGAGAGAGAGACTTTGAAAGAGGTTCCTGTTACACAGTTTTTGGTAGAACTCTATGAAGCACGGATACTTCAAAACGGGGGCCGTACGCATATCGGATACGGATACGCACCCGATACGGCGGGATACGTATCAGATACGGGAAAAGAAGTATCCTATTTTTTTTTTTAATTTTTGAATTTCGGATACGTTATAATAGTGGAGTGGAAGAAAACCCTCCTCTTATTTATTTATTTTTTAAAACCTCATTCCTATTTCAATCTCTTCCAAACATATGATGAGATGTTACATACACTACCTGAATACAACAATACTACCAAAAAAAAAAAAAAAATTAATCAACCAAACTCACCTAGGTCGAACAGCACCCAGCCGCGAAGGAGGAGTTCGTCATCATCTCTCGCTCAGGTTCGTCGATCAGGTTCGCGAACAGCAGCTCGATGGTTGTCGATCAGGTTCGTCCCTCTCTCTCTCCCTTTTGCTCCATCTCGGTCGATCTCACTCTCTCTCTCTCTCTCTCACTCGCTCGATCTGTCTGGTCTGAGTGGAGATGGACAGATCTCGATCTCATCTCTCCCCCCTCTCGGTCGATCTCTCTCCCTCTCCCTTTTATCTATATCGTCTGCTTGTCGCATATTTATTTTTATTATTTATTTATTTATTTTTATTGTATGTATACTCCGTAAATAAAATAAAATAAATCAATTAAAATATTAAAAAAAAAAAAACTTTGTATATGTATTCGGGTACTATTACCTGAATCCTGATAAAACAAATAAATAAATAAACTTATTATAAAAAAAAAACTTTGTAAACTTATAAAATTATAAACTTTGTAAACTTATTAATAAATCAAATAAGGAAGTCTTAAGATAAATAAATAAACTTATTAATGAACTTTGTAAACTTATAAAATTATAAACTGTGGATAAATAAATAAATAAATTTATTGATAAATAAATGAACTTTGTAAATTTTTTTCCCCTTAATTTGAATTGCATTATGGTTGTTATGGGTGATGCTAGGAATCTTTCTTTTTTTATCAAGTTGTCTTTTGCTTTAAGTTTTATTTTTATATATGCTACATTACTAAAACTTATTGAAGTTTTATTTTTATGTATGTTACATTATTAAAAATTGTTGAAATTTTATTTTTATGTATGCTACATTACTAAAAATTATAAAAATAATATTGTTTATGAACGTATTCCCACCATATCTGTATCATACTTTTTCAAATTTTGTCGTATCGCCGTATCCGTATCGTATCGTACCCGTATCCCGTATCCGTATCCGTGCTTGCTAGGTAGAACTCAACCCTAAAAGCTAGCTACAGAGGTGAGGGTGCTTTCATGCTTATATGCTTAACATTGCTTTAGTAGTTGGGCAATGTGGGACTACACTTCACACCTTCCTTCACGCCCAGCGTTTTCACTCGGCAGCACCTGCGGCGTGCAAGCTAAGGACACGCACCCTATCCATCTATGAGTATTTCAGCTCTGATACCATGTTGCATGGTATTGGGTAGAACTCAACCCCAAAAGCTAGCTATCGAGGTGAGAGTGCCCTCATGCTTATTTGCTAAACATTACTTTTGTACTCAGGCGATGTGGGACTTTGTTTCACACCCTCCCTCACGCCCAGTGTGCTCACTCAGCAGCACCTGCGTCATATAGGCCAGGGACGCACACCCTACTCATTCTTGAGTACTCCAACTCTGATACCATGCTACATGATTTGTAGAACTCAACCTCAAACGCTATTGAGATGAGGGTGCCCTCACGCTTATACGCTTAATTTACTTCAGTACTTAGGCGATGTGAGACTTTGCTTCATAGTTCCATCAACTACGGAGGATCAATTGGTATCACTTCACCTGAAATTGGCACATGAGCACTCAAAAATGCCTCTCTTCTTGTCCCGAAACCTTAGATGAGTGACTATGCTTAAACGGATATGCTGCTTTGCCGTGGGTCCTTTCATGGTATTGGGTAGAACTCAACCCCAAAAGCTAGCTATCGAGGTGAGAGTGCCCTCATGCTTATTTGCTAAACATTACTTTTGTACTCAGGCGATGTGGGACTTTGTTTCACACCCTCCCTCACGCCCAGTGTGCTCACTCAGCAGCACCTGCGTCATATAGGCCAGGGACGCACACCCTACTCATTCTTGAGTACTCCAACTCTGATACCATGCTACATGATTTGTAGAACTCAACCTCAAACGCTATTGAGATGAGGGTGCCCTCACGCTTATACGCTTAATTTACTTCAGTACTTAGGCGATGTGAGACTTTGCTTCATAGTTCCATCAACTACGGAGGATCAATTGGTATCACTTCACCTGAAATTGGCACATGAGCACTCAAAAATGCCTCTCTTCTTGTCCCGAAACCTTAGATGAGTGACTATGCTTAAACAGATATGCTGCTTTGCCACGGCTCCTTTCTCTAACATGCAATCCTGCTCACTCCTATCTTTGGGTCAATCCCTCCAACTTGCAAGGGGAAAAAGTTCAAGATTCATCGACCAAGTTCAAAACCAAAGCAACAAAGTCACCGGCCACTTCCTACACAGCCGTATGGAGAATGTGGTCAGAAATCCATAATAAAGTCCGACCACAACGACTGAATTGGTTATCTTCATGCATAAGGATTCTAGATTGCCTGGTAGAAAAGATTAAAAAATCACCACAAATCTCCCTCTTAAGTGTATCTTAGATCGAAAAGAATGCTTTGCATTCCAACAGAGATGCCCAAAAGAAAAGGAAGGAGAGGAAGAATCTGAAGAAGGGATGGTCCAACTATGTGTAGACTAAAAAACCATAGGCACCAGCCTTTGCTTTATTTAGAGAGAGAGAGAGAGAGAGAGAGCCAGCCAGCGTAGTTGAGCACACATGGCACATCTGCAATTGAGGGGTGTATTATATGGGTCAGAGGTTGGGTATGATGCATCCCTTTCTTGGTGTGTCAGGCAGCGCAGAGGTAGGTATGATACAACTTCCAATGTGTCAGGTCTTGGTTGAAACCCCTCTTTCTAAGTCTGGTCTTGGCGGGGAGGATTTGGCATTGGCAAGTGCTTGGACAAACCTTGAATGATAGCCTTCAATCCACAAGTCCTCTGATGTTCTCAAGCATGTATCTGGGCCCTACTCCCAGCCCAGGTGATCATAGAACCAACTTGTTTATGATGTGGAGATGGGGCTTGGTGGGCTTGCTGGCAAGCTAGGCAACCAAGCCAGTTATTCATTGAGCTTTGGTGCTAGGGGACTTGGCGGACTCGGTGACGTAATCAAGGAACCGAGCGAATGGTTGGGTTTTTCTGTCTATAGAAAAATATATAAAATAATATTAATGATTTATTGTGGTATTGGGAGCTGTATGTGTTTGGTGCTAATGTATTGTTTTGTAATAATGCTCTTGGAAGTTTAACAGGCTGTGCATATGTTCATTGAAAGTTGACATGTCAGCTTGGGAAGTCAAAAGGCCAAAGAGTGTCTCTGTTTGTTTACACAGCATATTGCTTCAGAGTTGGTCTTGGAAGTCTTAAGTGTGACAGATAGCTTGGAGGAGGTGAAAGGGTTTAAGTTGCTAGCCTAGGCAATGATAACTATGACTCCATGATGGTAGTCCTTGCTTGTTGTAACCTGGTTCTCACCTTCTCTGAAACCTTCATCATCCCAATAAAGCTCTTCCATAGCACTCCTGTGATGCCGATGAAGATCTGCCATAACACTTAAGGCTCCCACGTGTCGTAGGTAGTCTAATGTGCTCTCCTCATGGTAGTGGCCTTGTTTCTACCTAAGGTTGTACATACTAGTCATGTAACTGCCAACCAAATGCTAGGCCTAACACTAACATTTCACTAATGCAAAAATAGATTGACATGTTTATGGATATGCAAGTGATTTAATTGATTGAATGTTTATTATGCCAAACCAAACCAAACCGAACTGAACAGAACCGAAACAAGCCTTAAGTCCCATAATTGAATGTTTATTATGCCTTGTGATGAAATTTTATTCCTTTGTTGGCATGGCAGGAATTCATTAGTCTCATTGGCTTAGTTTTTTATTTCTCTGATCTCTTCTTTGATCAGCATAGCCATTTGGTTTGCCTTTTGTTTTTGAACCATACTCATTCTTGGAAAGTTAATCTTATCATATTTTGTGTTTAAAAAAAAATAAAAAAATAAAAAAGAATAAGAAGAAGAAAAAGAAAAAGGACATTTGCCAGTCAAGCGAACTATACATTAGTCTAATGTGATGATCATAATAATCAACATGTAGTAAAATGTAGAAGGTGCAACGCGCACTATTAAACGTTGTAATAACATGTGTGCTTCCTGCTTCAAATAGGGTTTTTCAACATGGTTTATTTGACAAGAGTTTTGAACAACTAATAGTTACTTTTAATGACTTAAATATGTTCTGTTAGCTTCAGGAGGTCTTACAGATGGTGTTTGCTATTTTGGTCTTTCCCTTGTTATGAGGGATGAACTATTGATCTTATATTTACCTGTTTAATTTAGGCACGTCTTGCCTTTTGCAAGTTCATGGTAAAACCATCAACTTTGCTAGTTTTGGATGAACCGACCAATCACTTGGATATACCTTCGAAAGAGATGCTTGAGGTTTGTTTTATGTTCCCTTTTTTTTTTTTTCACTTACAGATTTTTATATATCACATGTATCATAACCCTTGCTGTTTCTTTGACTCTATTGTTCTTATTAGGAGGCAATAACAGAGTACAAGGGCACTGTCATTACTGTTTCTCATGATCGATACTTTATAAAACAAATAGTTAATCGGGTATTGGAAGTCAAGGATGGAAGTTTACAAGATTATGCTGGTGATTACAATGTAAGTTTGTATCATAGTTATTAGTTGGACTTGGAATTTCTTGCAAATCTAACTTGCTTATTTTGTATTTGCTTCTATTTTATTACAAATTTCATGTCAGATTTATTTATTTATTTATTTTTTAAGACTGGCTCAGAGATAGACTGTGGTTTCCAAAGTGTTGTAACCAGGCACATGCCATATGTTTTGTCAAGCAACACCAGAGTTAACCATGCTCCGCCGATTGCTAATGCCATTCAAATGATTGAGTTTGACATACTGAATCCAGTCGTTCTATGGCAATTCACGTCCTTTACTGTTGTTGTTTTTGTTGTCCAAGTTGTTATTGCTGGATGGCAATTCTCTTTCATAATCTCCATTATTGGTGAGATTACCATATGGCAATCTATAACAAGGCATCTTTATATGCATATACATCTTTTCATTTTCAAACTGTCTACAAAATTTTTGGTGTACTTATTACAAGATGATACATGTAATTTATGTAGATATATACATATATATATATATAACTTTTGTTGAGCTTACCCCTTAGGTTCATGCATTGAGTTGCCGGTTAAACTGTAAGAATTTGAGCATACCTCTTATATCCCTGGTATGGTGTATGCATGAACTGCATTCAGAAGGGTTGTTCAAACTTGAATTTCAACCCAAATGCTTATGAGATAGAATTGCTAAGTTTTCTGAGTACAATAGTCAATAGTGGTTTCTGATAATCTGACAAGACAAATCAAAATTACAGTATTATCTAGAGAAGAACATTGAAGCAAGGGAGAGAGAGCTTGAACGTGAGGCAGATGTTGACGAGAAGTCCCCTAAAGCAAAAGCCAAATCAAAAATGTCAAAGGTAATGTTACCCTTGCAGTAGTTATTACACCAACAACTGAAAAAGGAATTGGCAAACTTATGTGTAATCCATTAATTTGGTGGATCTGATCAAAGACTTGTACATTTATTTTATTACTAACAGGCTGAGAGGGATGCTCGGAAGAAACAAAAGATGCAGGCATTTCAAAATGCAAAAGCAAAATCAAAAGGGTTGAAGAATGCTAAACGATGGAAATGAGGTTGAAGCTTTCGGCTATTTTTGTGCTGAAGAACCTGTGTATCTTTTAGATAGTTTTACCTTGTTAAAAGCCCGAATGGGATCGTAAGGTGTCTTATTTTGAACCACCTTGGCTGTGTGTGTATATATAACATGAATTGAAATAGTTTACTTGATTACATTACATTTAAATGGGAAACATGCAATGGAAATTTTTGGTGTCAGAGAACATGGCCGGCAACAGGAACACGAAGGAATCATGATGATGTTCGTACTCTTTTCTACTAAAATCATTTGCATATCTCAATTTCCCTGAATAATTGAAGTAAAAAAAATAGAAAATGACTGATTTCTGAGTTATCCTTGGGGAGCTGATGATGCTGTTGAACTCATTTTACCTGCAAATATTTGATTAAAATGTAAGGCTGGAATGAGGAAGTCTGCACGGTAAGAATTGTGTTGTCGAAGCCATGGCCTTCAACATGAAAATTAGTTAAAATTTTCGACAATGTCTAATGCTAGGAGCGTCTACATTTTGTTGTTGCAGACGATGAACAATGAAGTTCAGGCTGCCTCTGAATTTGGATGACAACTCTACTATAGTTGAGTTCTGAAGCTTTTTGAAATTGTGTTTGAATCTCGAATTTGTGAAGGGATTGTTTGAGGGTTACCTTGTCTTTTCCTTTATGAATCTCTTTCCAAATTTGGAATTGCGTAGATTTTTGTTTAAGAGAAGTATGAAAAATTCTATTTCCATACACTTATTTACCTCTGTGCACACAGTTAATGATTTATTTTTTTATTACATTTTTGTCTTAAAATAAAATTACTAAAGTGTCATTATCTTCTCCACCAAAATCCTAATTTCTTCATCTCCTCTAATAACCAGCTGCATATAACCCAGTAAGTCTCTTCACTTTTAGATCTTTGCTTGCATTTTCAGCTAGCTCAAGCACTTCTGGTATCAAATATTCAAGAATTGGACCAGTGTTCTTACATTTCAACAAGGAATCAATTTCATTGGAACCCCATTTCGTTGTTTCTTCGCAAGAACAACAACAAAAAAAAAAAAAAAAAAAATTTCCCGTCTGCATAAACCTAGATAACAACAATGATACATCCCACTAATTTGGGAGCACTAATGGACCACTAATGAGGTGGAAATTTAAAAAAAAAAAAAAAAAAACAATAATGCTTGAAACCATTAAAAGTGGTGCTCTAAAAGCACCACTAGTAATGTGGCAGTAGACGGGACTCACTGCTTGTGTCTTGTTTTTTTTTTTTTTTTAATTAAATTGCTTGCCAACTCATTAGTGGTGCGCACCACTTTTAGTGGGATGTATCATTACCTAAAAAAAAAAGGGGAACTTACTGATAAGTCCCATGTACTAAGTTCAAGATCCAGCTAATCCCAAAACAAAACACTTGCACCAATTAGTACACTACATTTTTAATTGTTACCAAAAAATCCTTTTTTTTTTTTTTAATTTACAGACACTGTTCATATCTTACTACTATCGGACTTCCGTCAAACGGTTGCCGGAGACTCGTCGGAATGTTCAACATCGCCGGGAAGTCGCCGGAGTCAAATTAATCAAACTGAAAAACATGTTATGAAACTGTAAAATTTTACAGTTTTATACCATGATTCATTCCAGTACCAAAAAAATTTGAAACTGCAAAATTTTACAGTTTTTACCGCCTGTAACTAAAACTCGAAAACTACTTGTTCAGAATCTGTTATTCTCTCCTTCTTCCTCTGTTATATTAGTTTTTTTTTTTTTTTTATTTGTGTAAATTTGGTAGATTTGTGTATTTTGATTTTTTAATTTAGATTTAGGTTTTGATTTTGATTTTTTCGAAGAGCAGGGTTGCGATTTGGATGATGACTTCTACAAAAGGATTGCATTATTCAGTGAATGACTTCATATATAATCTAGATCAAGTGAGATATTGTGCCAGTGGTAAGTAATTTCAGAAATGGAGAGAGCATGAGTGGAAAGAACATGATTTGGTAACGGTGGATCTTGACTTGGAACTTGGATGCTGTCAGTTTTATTTTTGCTTTTGTTGTTATCCTTACGTTTGGGTAAAGCTGGACTGCTCTGCTGCTGCTGCTGCTGAAAACAGAGGCAGAGGGGAAGGAAGAAAAACGAGAGAAGAAAACGTAAAGAGGGAAGCACAAAGCAGAAAGATAGAGGAAAAGGACTTTTGGGTGTACTCAAAAAGTTATGGGATTAAATGGTGTTCATATGTTCCACATGGGACCTATGGGTAATTTCCCCAAAAAAAAACTTAAGGTCAAAACATCATATTAGTCCGTAAGACCCACTCTCTCGAGCCCTTTTAGTGCTCCCAATTTTAAGCTCACAAACATTTTTCACCTAGATAATTCCCTAACCCTAGTTTTTTTTGTACCCAATTGATAAAAAAATAAAGGAAAATAAGTGAGAACACTAATTAATGCTATATCATGAATAATTTAATGTTTTGGCTTTGATGTTGTATTTTTTTTCTTTTTTTATTGAGTGTCATGTCATTAGTAGTCTTTTTAGAGGTCCAAAATTAGTGACCTCTATCATTGTTGAAAAATAAATAAAAGAAAACCCAGAATTTAGAATTTGGAATGCGACTATCCCTGATTTGGATTCAAACTTTGATCGCCGTTGAATGGATTCACCATTGTTGACATTGGTCTTTTTTGGTTTGGGGATTTTCCTGGGTATTTTCTCTCCAATCGTGCAGTCTCAAGAAAATCTGAATCCTGGATTAGAATCTCCACCAACTCCTCAGTCGCCGCCGCCATCTCCTCCTCCGCCATCGTCCCCTCCTCCGCCGCCACCTGGATCGTCCCCTTCTCCTCCTCTGCCGTCCCCTAGATCATCACCTCCACCACCGCTAACTCCGCCTCTACAACTTCCACCTTCTCCCAATCGCCGGCCACTGCCGAGGACACTCCCTCGACCTTCTCACAATCGCCGGCCACCGCCGAGGACCCCCCCTCGCGTGACTGCGAAGTCGCTGCCTCAAGAAACGACAGGAAGAAAGAATCACAGAGCGAAAGCGGCCATGGAAAAGCAAGCCCGGCTTCCAAAGAAAACCTCAATTTGGGGAAGAAAATTGGCTTGATGTTTGTGGGTATTGTGGGTAAAATGCAAGTTGGTGTGGTGGCATTGTTACTGATCAAGAAACAACTACTGTCGAAGAACAATGTTAGATACTAAAAACTATAGCAATTGATTAACAATCTACCATTTTCTTACTGATTCACGGAGCTTGTTATTATATAGTGAGAGATGAGGTAGGGTTCTATTGAATTACGATTCTGTAGCAAGTGGCTATCAAATATAGATTATGAATTCAATATGGCATTGACAGAGTATACATGGATTACACAAATTAAGGATTGATCATAGCGTTGTCTCGATTGGGGTTGTCGATTGTTGTTGTAAATGGGTAATTCTTGATTTGCATTCTTTTCAAGACCAAAGCAGGGAGAAAAAACGCTTACAAATGCATGTTGGTTTAGGATTTCAATGTCAAATAGAGAGATATTTTTGACAAAAAATATTGTGCATGTATTGAAAAATAATGTAGATTGAGGTGTTTTGGTGTGTGAAAATAAAATTATCCGAGAATTATCGGGCCATTGTTTTGGTGGTCAAAACTTAACTTCAACGGGTTGGTTTGGCATAAATTAAATAATACAAAAAGTCAAAAAGTCACTATCCTATTTAAGTCACATCATTTTATTTAAGTCACATCACATCTCTAACACATCACATCAAACCCAACCTAAACCCAATCCATATAAGCTAATAAATCAAAAAATACATTTTTTTAGAACATCCCAAACCAACCTGTCACGACCCAAACCCGGCCTTATGGGTTTAGCACCGTAACCGGCCAGTAATCCGAGATTACCAAAGGCCTGCTTAACAGTAGTACCGTAAAACAGAGTTCAGGGCCCGGCGGAAGCCAATACAGTAAATGAATAATGTTCATTGAGCTGTGACAGTCTGTATGCCAAAAAGATTTTTCATGCATTCATACATACAAACAGTACAGTCTATACAAAATTTACAGTCATACAGTACAGGGACTTAATCTCTTGATAACAATACAGTTAGTAGCTGACAGTCTATACAGTAATCCAAACAGTATGGAGACAGACGGGGGAAAAACAAAACACCCCAAAGCCATAGCATGGCAACTCGGAACCTCGCAGTGAGGCACAAAGGCTGGCTTGACAAAACTGGAGTCTAACCCACGCTCCTAGCTCCGATCTGGTGGCTGAGCACCTACATATATATATAAACAATGAGCTAAAGCCCAGTGAATAACATAATGCGTAAAGAGGTTAAGAATGAATGTCCTTACAGTATGAAAACAGTTCAGTTAAACAGTATTTCAGTTGTTCAGTCAGTACAGTCATATGTGGTACACCCATTAGCATAACAGTGCAGTAAACAGTAGGTCTTAAAGACTGAACAGTAATGATGGCCATCAATCAGTAGACAGTAGTGGTTCCACGAGGGAACCGACAGAGATCTCCGTAACAGTAGCAGTAACAGTATACAACAGTTGCTAATGATGCCACAATACATTTCAGAATATAGGACATACATTCAATCAATTAACAATAATTACTTCAGAAAACAGTTTCGTTAAACAGTCAGAAAACATTCTCAGTTGAACGTATCTTTACACAATTGTTACTCACAGAGTTGGGGCTACAGTATGCTAGAGCGTGTCTCCCCAGTCGCCAACCCTACACAGTTAACAGATTGAACACACTAAGCTACACAGTTGGGAAAGATAATAGCTTAATCCCTAATGCCTCGGTGTGTTCTACATCTATGTCCTCAATAAGATGTCTTAAACTAGGCCTAAAAATGCCTAGAATGGGATGAGGATGCAAAGATGTGATCAGAAAACAGTTTCAGAATATTCAGGAAAACAGAGTCCCGCTCGAGCGCAGGTTTCCCCGCTCGAGCGGACATGCAACAAAGGTACACGCTCGAGCGTCAACTTTCCCGCTTGAGCGTACTGTAAAAGTACTGGATTGGTGAAATCTCCGCTCGACGGACGCTCGACGCCCTCTCGAGCTTGAGACACATGCCTCCGCTCGAGCGCCCAATCCTCCGCTCGAGCGGACTGTAAAACAGTGCAGAGATACAGGATGCTGAGATTCCACGCTCGAGCGTCACTTTCCCCGCTCGAGCGGGAGTGCAAAATCTGGAAATTCCAGATTGCACTTCCAAGCTCAAACTCAAGTTTAAATGCATCAAAACCGATCCTCTTGGGCTGAATTTCCAGAAAACACTTGTAAACATATAGAATATCATGGTTCAAAGCTCAATTTTGAGAAATCAAAGCCCAAGGGTGTTTAATTGAAACCCAATTTCAAACCAATTTCAAGAACAATATGAACATGCAAACATGCATGAATTCAAATCATTTTGAAGTTCCAATTTGATGCTCTAAGGAGCCTATTGATCCAAAAACAAGTTGAAAACATGGACCATTACAAAATTATGAACATGCATGCACCATTTTACCATGAATTCAACTCAAAACTCATTAATTCAAACATGCATGCATGAATTATGTTCTAATCCTACATGTATGAACTAAACAAGACTTAACTCTACACTTGAAGCATGAAACATGCAAGAACTAGTTCAATGGCAACAATAAGAAGATGAGTTTCCTACCTTAGTCTTGGATTCAAGATTTAGGAGCTCAAATTAACAATCTACACTTCAATCCAAGCAATTCTTCAAGATGAATTCCAATTCAACAAAATGAACTCAAGTCTCTCCTATCTCCTCTCTTGGTCGGCAAGAACAAGGAAAATGGCTGAGCAAATGTTTGATCTAGGTGTATAATGAGGCTCAAGTATATGTATTGAGTGGGCCACTCATGTGGCAAAATGGTAAATAAATCAAACTATGCAATTGATCAATATTTAATCATACCTAACAGTTTTCAGATAATTATACCATAAAATCACATTAATTCTAAGGATCATAGAACACTAACCAATTCCCGGTTCGGCCGCCGATAAGGCCTTCAATTAGCAGTTTAAACATAAAACACGAACAGATCAAATAATCAATCAAACAGATAGAATACAAATTAACATACACACTCAGTCAATTCAGTTCCAGTTTTCAGTCAGTCAGTTCATTACTTTAACCAGTCCAATTATCAGTCATAATCAGTTCAGTTTAACGGTAATCGATGTTTATCGGTAATCAATCAGTCATTAATCGGTAAACAGTATGAGGGTTGTTACACAACCCGTAGTAACCTTAAAGTTGCGGGTTAACGCATGAGGGCGATTGTTCTATGCAAATTACGTGGAAGGTTAGGTTTGTACCTATTTTGCTCCTATGATACTTCCTCTGGTAGGGACTAAATTTTGCTTGCATTTTTTAAAATTATCATAAGTTATCATATTATTATTTTTATTTTTTGTATATATTTTAGTAAAAAATTAAAAAATTATTAAAATAACATGTTTCCAAATGAAACCTTAGCATATAATTTTACACGACTTGTACCAAGCTATAATAAAGAGAGTTACTAAAGAGAGTTGTGTGTGAAGTAGTCTGAATGTATAAATTGTTGTTAGATTCGTTATAAACATTAATCCTAAGTTGAAATATGCGTGCTTGGGCTAGGGCATACCTAGTAAATAACACGTATAGTTGCGAATTTTAGAAAAATTAATTAACTACACTTGATTATTTAATATGAGCTCCGCTTTTATTTACTTAAATCATTTTAAAACCAATTCTTTTATCTTTCTAATTAATTTGCAAAAACACCGATTTGTTCGTAAAACATGTCCCAAAACTAAACATGTTGTAATTATTTATCAAAAAGAAGCCAAAGACCCTTAATAACAAATGTTTAAGTAACATTTTTTTAAAAGGGACACTTGCCAGTAAGTCTCATAGACAAATTTCAAAATTCATCTAATTTCAAAGTAAAACACTTGCATCAATTAGTACATATTTTTAATTGTTACCAAATTTTTTTTATTTTTTATTTTTTATAATTTTAAAAACGCTGTTACATCCCACTACCGCCGGACTTTCTTCAAACGATCACCGGAGACTTGCCGGAATATTCAACTTCATCGGGAAGTTGTCGGGGTATCGCCAGAATGTTCTGAAAGTCACTGAAGGTCGCCGAAATGTCCAAAATGTTCATTGAACGTCAAGAACATCATCGGAGACTCACCGGAATGTCCAGAATATTGCCGGGAAAAAAATTGGAGAAATTATAGTGAAAAAACATAGCAAAATATGCTAAATATTGATAAACTAAAAGAAAAAAAAATAACAACAATAAACAACAATGAGAAAAAGTACATTATTTTTTAATTTTTGTAGGGTTTAAGCAAATAATCTCCAATATTAATCAAACTAAAAAGTAAGCTTTAAAAATATAAAATGTTATAGTTTCAAAGTATGATTCTATTAAGCATTTATCCTTATTAATCGAACTGAAAAACATGTTATGAAACTGCAAAATTTTACAGTTCTAAAGAATGTTACGAAATTGTAAAATTTTACAGTTTTAAAGCATGATTCATTTCAATACCAAAAAAATTGAAACTGTAAAATTTGACAGTTTTCACCACCTGTAATTAAAACTTAAAAACAACTTGTTCAAAACTTGAAAATTTTCTCCATTAAAATAGGAAAGTAGAAGTGTATAGCAAAGAAAAGGTAGAAAAATTGAGAAATCGAATGAGAGAAACAGATATAGAGGAAATATTGTACTCCTGCAATTATTTTTAGTTTAGATCTAGTCATATCTCATATAGATATACTCAGATCTGATGAGTAGATCTACTCATCTTCTTTGCCAGAAACTCGTTTCTTTCGCCGTTTGTGAGGATGAAGTAAGAAGTCGATAGTCGGTGGTTGCCGATGAACCCTAAGCAATGATGGCCGTTTGTCACCAGTGACTATATATTAGAAAGAGAGAGAAGAAGCAAAGCATGGTCGCCAGTCACCAAAAATCAGGAAGAGAAAGAGCTAGACAAAAACGAACACAGAGAAGATTGAAGAAGAAAAATACATATATAGTGGACTTTTGAGAGTATTAAA